CCATCAAGTAAACCTCTGGTTTTTAAGTCAGCTTCCTTTCAGGTTTTTTCCTTTTAAAAGATTCCTATAAACATCAGCATGCATTCACCGAGTTTTTATACTTGTTTAGGAAGCCTGATCATTCAGAGCGCATGTTTTCTGCTCAGGCGTATTAATGTGGACTGTCAGTGTTGTCACTGTTTTGCAGTCTGCTTGTGCGCTCTGCACCGAAACCCCTCACATGTGCTTCCCATTAAATCCTCTCAGTCCTACCTTAAGGCTGCAATAAAGCATCACGTGTTTCATTTTTACGGGAAAGTATGAAATATGAACCACATTTCCCAATCAGACCCAGGTGGAGACGTGTAAGCATAACTTTAGTTAAACTTAAGTTACACTCTGTGGGCGGTGTAATGGGGGCCAAATCAGCGTCAGGTCTTTTTATTTACCCTCTCTGAGTTTTTCACTTTTTTTTTTTATTTCATAGGGTTTCTTTTGTTTCCAGATTTATTTTTGAAGACGTCGGGTTGCCCGAGGACGTGAGCCGTTCAAGCCAGAGCCAGAGGCTGATATTCAGAGGACTCGAGGGAGACAGAAAACGAGAAACCGTGTCACACCCGTCAGCCCGGCTCACCTGTAAAAACGCCCCGGGAAAGCTGAACTGAAACCCTGTAAAAAAAAAAAAAAAACCAGCACATCAATCTCACTAAGACTCAAACGAGGTCAGCGTCAGAACCGTGCAAAGACGGAGCTTGTGTTTGTTATGTAAGGAGAGGAGGCTGAAATCTTTCTCTGGAGATTCATTTTTGATGGAATTTCCAGGCTCAAACATTTTACAGTTACACTTTCGGATTGAGAAAAACACCAAGCAACGCCAAGAAATCTCTTTTTTTTTCTTTCCATCTTTTCTGTTTAGATACATTTCTCTCTGCTGCACTTTGTTTCATTTTTACTTTCCCCCTCCCCCCTTTTTTTTTTACATCATTCTGCTAAGATTCTGCCCTGTAAGGACACCTCTTAAACCCAGATGTGACTCTTTATTTTTATTCTGAAACTCTGCCTCTGTTGTTGACACAGTTCACAGTTTTAGAAACTATTCCCTTTTTTCGCGTTCGTCCTATTCCGGTCATTTTTGTATGTTCTCTATTTTGCGTTGATGATTTCCTATCATTTTCAAAGTCTTTGCTTATTAGATGATCTAGAAGCTACTTATTAAATATCAGAGATTGCATGTTCACCCTTTATTCGATGTGAATTTTTAAGCTCTATGATGCAGTAGATTTTTTTCATCTTACAAAGGAGAGCAATGTTGAATGGATATTCATGGATGAAATGTGGAGCAGTCATCTGGCAGAAAACAACTATTTCACTGCTTTTTGTTGCTAATATTAAATAATCTAAGGAAGACAGGATAGATCATTTACAACCGCAGGTACATCGCCAGCATGAAAACCTGAATGTAGGCAACAGCTGTGTTTTAGCTTTTCCAACCTGTCTCAAACCAAGCTGAGTGTACTCGATGTTCTGGCAGGTAACATGTTTCAATCCACTGGATAGGATAGAGATGTACCCAGATATTGATGTGAAAGCCTGACCTCAAGCCCAAAGCTTGAGGTCAGCCCAATTGACTATAACGCCTCCTATTGGCCAGTGAAGCAGTTGGTCACCATAGAGATTTTATCCTCCATGAAAAGTAAATTTTCTTGTTACTTGTGAACATGTTTTTTTTTTTTCACATGCGGCAATGCACGTCACAGAATATGTACATTTTCTGTGGCATTGTAAATAGGTCATCAGTGTGAAGGAGAAGAGGACTCAAGTTTTTCAAGCACAAACTCTTTCAGGTTTACAAAGAAAAAACAAAGAAAATATCCAGTGAGCCGGGTTGTGCGGATGAAAATGCCTTCATATCTGATGCAACATTAAGTTGATGAGAATTTCATCATATCAGTAGTTCAAGTTAATGGTGACGAGGGGGATGTTTTTTTTTTTTTTTTTGCTCGTTTTGAGACCCGTAGCACCAATCATTTCAACATCTCAACACAATGTGTCCATCTTCTTAAGACCAAATGATCTCAAACTGGTTTCTTGAACTTCGGCTTCAGCAGTCACCACTTCTCAAAACGACACTTTGGGTTGTATTGGAGATTCAAGTTGTGGAAGTGAAGCCATCAAATCTGCAGCTGCCACCGCAGGTCTTCCAACACCTCGTTCCAACTGCGGACCGGAGAACTGAAGCACTTCTTGTGGTTTGAGGAGGTCCAACTCGATACAAGCAAAGCGCATCTAGTGAATTGATCAGGCGGTGTACATCCCCGATAAATCCATTCAGTCAGAACCTAAAGTAAAATTTCTCGCTCGTGGCTGCTGGCTGTAAAAAATGGCTGACTTCAAACGACTGCTGACAGCCCATAATCAAAGGAAGACAAACTGAGAGACAGAAAGGTGGAAGGAGCCAGGCAACAAGCATCGAACAGACAAACAAAAACATAGTGCCACGTGTAAACACGACAGGGAGAATGAAACACAAAGGCCACATGTACAAACATAAGACGTCGCAGTCGATAACTAGTGTGAGTTATGGATGACTTAGATTACAACGTATTTTGTCATTTATTTAGTCTCACGGTCATTTGTGAGCACAGATTAAACCTGTAGCATATGAGGGAACTGATTACAGCAGAGAATCAAACATCTTGTGCAACCTGAGCTGAATCTCTGGATGCAAAACTCACCAAACTCAAACCTGGAATGACTATAAAACACTCTTCAGGCTACGTGTAACCCTATCCATCTCAACGTCCCTGATGAGTGTGATTATGGTATGGGCCAAATAAGGTCAAAGTGCAAACAAAACACTGCAGTATTTTAGGCTCGATGTTTTTGAAAATGTCACTATTTATACCAAATTACAAGCCAGAGAGCAGCTGGCTCTCTGCTGCCAGAAGGATTGATTTGAGAATGCTCTCAATCAGACAGACGTCCGTGTTGAGTTACAGCCGAGCTGCGGTGCAGCGTTTTGAATGTGGGGGTGAAATTGCAGCCTTTGCTGTCTGTGATTAGGGCTTACATGAGAGGATGTCAGTCAGCCACCAGGCTGCGGAGGGATGGGATGGCTGGTTAAAATAACAGACACCTCATGACAACACACAAGAAAACACTGTTCCTTTAAATTCAACCCATTAGTGTATATTAGCAAGGGTAAATAAGAACAAAGCTGCACGAATCAGAAAGGCTTAAATGATTAATTTCTACAGATAAAGATATTCTGGGATTCATTTGTGGTCAAGTCGTTAAATCAAATCTGTTGACAAAGCAAAGCATATTGATCAGGCCATTGAGAAGATTCCTAGAGGCTTGGACCGTGTTTTAAATTTTACCCAATTGCTAACATTTTCCTGTGATGTTAGCAATGTCAACATTGCTAACATCACAGGCCTTCTCCCAGGCATGGTATGAATGCCTGGGAGAAGCGCTGATCCCAAAGTTAATCTAATATTTGTAATTTTGACCAACACGGACTGAACAGATTCCTTCACTTCCTCCTTTGCTGTGGCTGTAACTACAGGTGAACTACAATTCCGAAACAGCGCAATAAACAAACAAATAAGTAAATAAATAAAATAATCAACATCGTCGTTCACAACGCCTCCTTCTGTTCCCTGATTGGCCCTGGTCAAAATTGCCCGGAGGCAATCCAAGTCAAAGGGAGAAAGCCCAGGCCGTGCTGGAAGCGAGAATGTTTTTTAAGAGGAATTGCACAAGAAGGCAATAGTCAGGCTACCATTGTGCCGTAGGGATGTCCTTCTTCAGGACACAGAGACAGAGAGGCTGGTCATAGTAGGAAAACTTGCACAAGCTGCAGAAGACATGTGAGAGAGCTAGAGGTTTGGCAGAGCTACAACGTATTGATCGACGTGTATTCGTGTGCTGGAATGACTCTCGGTGATCAGGTGAAAAACAAAATGTCCAGAAGTGCTGTCGGTGATAGATGAATCAACTGGGGGGGCGAAAAGGCAGCAAACTGTTCAAAGCAGGGTGCTTTTCATTTTCTGCCAACTGCTGGTCAGATTGGACAAACTTCTGCATCCACTGTGCTTCCTACGGAGTCGGACGCTCGCAGGCAGCAGGGCAAACTCTTCAGTGCGACCTTCCTGCAACAATATTTCCATTGATCGGAGCTGTCCCTCCTGGGTCTGCTGTTGACTCTGCAGCTCGCCGAGCGACGCGGGTCAGATGTCAGAGCCGTGAGCTCATGCAAATCCAGGGCTCCTGGCAGCAAAGAGTCCTTTGTTTGGACGTCTTTTTAGCCGCATACCACAGGAGGATACCCGCATACCTGCCGCATGTAGCACCCACAGCGCACCGGCCAACTCAAGGGCAGGACCAAAGAGCCTCAGCAGACCACGGAACTTTATGAGATTCCGTTGTTGAAAGTGTTGAACTAAATTTCTCACACACACACACACACAAAAAAAAAAAACATTCAAGCCACAATAAAGCAGCACACATATTTCCAGGCTTGAGACTTTGAGAATTTATTTGAATCACAAAGTATTCATATTAGTTCTCTGGTGGAGTGGAGGAGGATTGGTCGTTGATGTCATTGTTGTTCACAAAAGAAAAAGAAACTTGAATGTGTCTTCAGATTAAAAAACTAATTGGGAGTTGATGAGGCCTGGACCCATGAGAACATATTTTATTCTTTAGTTCAAATGATAGCAGAGAAAAACTGAGAGCAGCAATGAGCACAAATCACCTTTGCGACAACCATAACAAAGTGAAACCGTGTGCAACAGCTTCTGTGGAAAAGCATCTAGAGCAGATGAGTTTCTGCATCGCTTTCTCGTTTTGCCGAAAAGGTTCAGGCACATCAGCTGCCCCAGACTAAAAACGCATCAATCCAACCTTAAAGTTGTCATGGAGGCTTCAGTAAGGCTGATACAGAATGAGACGTTTCAAAGTGTCAAAGAAAACTGCAAAGTTACAAAAATGGAAGCCAACAAATTCAGACCACTTACTTTTTGCCTTTCTTTGTCTTCAGACCATTTGCTCATAGATTGGTTTAGTTTATTCCAGTAGGAGCGTGGCAGCTGGATGTTTCGGTCCTCCGTCGTCCAGTTGTCAGCTGCCTTCAGCAGGACTCACTCGGCTGATGTAAGACGCCTCTGCACTGTGAAAAGAAGAAGGAGAAAAAAAAATGAACCAGAGGGGACAGAGGGAGCGAGGCAGAGAGAGAGAGAGAGAGAAGGAGGAAAAAAACCTCACATTCTGTGGATTCCTGGAAATGTGCCAGAGTTCCAGAATTCCACACATATGGTTTCAATTAAGGCCGAATCCAAGTCTCAATCAAAACGCTTTTCGTCCACCTGAAAAGAGGCTTTCTTTTGACAACCAGAGGCTGAAGCAACTTAAATAGAAAGTGACCTGTGCGCTTTAATCACTTCATTCACTGCTTTGCGTGAGAAACGGGTCTGAGTGCAGGCATGAATTTCAATTTGACAAACACAGAAAGGTGTGAGTCAACGCATCAGGCAGGAGTCCTTCATTGACATTTCACAACTTCTGCAGCTGTTTTGTCCAGATATATTTAGATAAACCTTCACTATCAGATTTGGAAATATTTGTTTGTTTGTTTTTAACAGTATTCTGGTCATCTTGACTTGCAAAGTCATTCTATCCTGTGGTGGAGTAACTCCAGAGGCAGGGGGGGATTTATAAAAGCAGAAGGATTTGATTTTATTGCCCTCTCATGTAGGGATTTTCACCAGCTGCAGAAATGGGGCTGGTTGAAATTTTTTTTACCAACGTTAATTCCTAGACAACTAAGGATTATCAACTCATTCAAAGCTAAAAGCTGAAGTCAAATATTTTTTCCAAAAGCTAAATATTAAGCTTAGTTTTTTTTTTTGAAGCAGCTGTAAGTAGCTCTAGAGCATCCAACATTTACTGAGATAAATATTGTTAAACATTGTTTTTGAAAAGTTGAGCCACTTTAAAATACAGCCTGAGCAGCAACAGAGCAATTCTAAAACATTTAACATTGCTTCCAATTTAAAACTGATACTCATCCTGAATTTAAATGGAATAAATTATTTGCGAAAAAGAAAAACTGCCCCAATTGTGCAATTTTCTTTTGTAGGGTTTGTCTGAAATATTTGGAAGAAAATGCGGCTTGGGAAGTTGAACTAACAACTCTAAACTACCTGAGATACAACAGACTGGTTTTTAAGGAAGCGTCATTCATTTTCCTTCACGCTAGAAAAAATGTCAGAAGTGATTAGCTATTGTTAGCTTCTCGTAGGGAGTGAATGCTGCAGGCTTGCAACTCTATGCGATCTACTGGGTTTTCTTTGATGGGGCACTGCTTGATGACTAGTATCAACTGGAATGCTGAAATGACTTTTTTTGTAAAGTTTCTGGAGACTTCTGGTGCGAGTGGTAGCCAAAGATACTGATTAAAACAGTAAAAGGACTTTCCAAAATCAAGGGTGTTTAAGTAACAATCACTTGAGATAAAGTCACTGCACTCAGGTGATCGCCATTCGTCCATTCGCTGTGAACCTACAAGCACCAACTCGCTGGGCCTTTGTTGACTTAGCTCAGTAACTTTGTAGGGGGGGTGCATGTTTATGCAATCACTTAAGTTATGTTAAATGTTTTCTTTTAATTATTTTGCAGAAAACATTTTTTCACTTTGGGATGAAGCTTTTTTTGCGTGATTTTTGTTAATTGCGACTGATTTGCGGAAGCAATAAAACGGGTAAAACCTTTTCACAGGCACTGTAGCATTACTTCCTCTAGTAGATCTTGGAAATCAAACAAACTCCAGATATTGATTAGTGACTATCGGAACTATAATGCAATGAAAACACGCTGCAGTCATAACATGAAATGCATATTCCAATGTTGTGCAAATTGAGAGTTTATAAAGAGGTATTGACAAAACAATTTGGTTTCCACGTAGAAAGTGCATTTAATAAAAGATAGAAGCCATTGTATCCATCTAATCTTTAATGATTACACAACCAAAAGAAGCAGATATTATAAATACCCCCCACATCCCGATCCATGTGTCCTTATGACATGTACTGATTACTTCATCTCAGCTTAGTCTTGTACAAAAATTACAAGTTAAATAGATGGTAAAGTCCATCTAAACAGCATTCATCAGGACGTATAAAAATAAGTCTCATAAGCAAAATAAATAGATGCACTTGCCGAATGCATCGTCCAGACAATAAGGATTTCATTCATAATTTCACAATGTGTTCAAGTGCTCTATGAAAGACAGATAAAATATGGCGTCAGCATATAAACAGAGGAAAGACTGCGTACTTCATTAGCCTCATTCACTTTCGTCTCAAGAACCTTTCAGGGAGACGCTTGTTATTGCACGGCGATGGCATCACAGTTTCTCTAAACGAACTCAGGAAAACAAAAAGCATGAGGTGATCTTTGGGTTGTTCTCCCTTCGTCTGTCCTCTGCTGATTAAACGCCGTTCTTCACTAGTTCGTGGACTCCGCGCTCGTCGATCATCAGGGTCGCCTGAAACTCTCGTCCCTTCACCAATTCCTCGAGACCCTTTAAAAAAAAAAAAGGAGGGGGGGAGAGAGAAAAAAAGTGGAAAACTTTGTCAAGCAGAGATTTTGCGACAACACCTGGATTTTCTGTTAAATTCTCCTGGTCTCACCTCTCCCGCGTAGGAGACCAGCGGAGAGATCTCGCATTTGATCGGAAGGTCGGTTCCGTCCTTGAGGCTGCGTCGGAGAAAGAAGCGTTGTCAGAGGAAGGAGAAAAACAGAGGCAGAATGAGAGACCGTCTCATGAAAGACAGAGGGACGGTCGCTTAGAGAAGTGGCAGTAAATCCTGAAAAACAGCTGGGCTTTTACTAAGGCTTGTGATTAGAGATCAAAGGTAGATAATCAGACGTTCATCTCAACCAGTGATTAGTACTCTGACCCGTAACACACATCCTCCAGAAGCAAACAGATGAGTGCCTGGCAATGTCTCCACCCAGTGCTTCTGAAATACTGGGGGCACTTCACACAAACCCTCACTCATCTTGCCCACTTCAGGGTAATTATTCCAGACAACAATCACATCTGGAGAGTCAGAGGTGGAGCTGCAAGAGAAGGTGAATGACTAAAAGAGAAGCATTAGGAGCCTTAAACACATCTGTGACTCTAATGAATGTCAAAGAGGCACATGCTTGTGTTTTTACCGTGCCTATAAAAAGCATTCAACTCCTTGGATTTTTTCACCCTCTTTATTGCTTCTACAAAATGAGTCATGATTGACATAATCTGTCTTTTTCCATAAGATTAGGAGGGGAAAAAAAACACCCTAGAAAATAAATATTTAATCTAAAAATAAACAATTGCATTGGTGTCACATAGTTGCTTTCTGATTTTGTTTCTCAAATAGGGCAGGACTGATTTGCAGAAGCAATAAAAAGGGTAAAAAAAAAAATCAAAGGGGGTGAAAACCTTTTCAGGCTCTTTATGTCTGAGCAAGCCAGTGAAGTTAAAACAAGCAGAAAACAGATGAGCCTGTAATGATCTTATAAACAAATCAGCGGGTTCAGAGTTCATTTCAAGGTTCGACAGACAGGAGGAGTGGTTCCCATTACCCAGCATGCAACGGGTGCGTACGTCCTTTACGCACTCAAGGGTCTCAGCATAGGCCTTCAGAGGATAAATTATCTGCCATCAGATCATTATGACAGAATACCAGCCACTACTAAACTAAAGTAAATCTTTCATAACTGATACGGTCCCTTGAAGCATTCACATCTCTTAAAACGTTTTGTTTTCACATGTGCTAAGCCAGCCTCAATGTAGAATTATCTTTTCCGGGATTTATTTAGGCGGCACGACTCTACTGGGTTTGGACGTCTTAAAGACATAAATGTACGTTAGGGAACAATTCTCCAAATTGTTCCCTAACAAACACCTAGGGCCTTGTTGAGTCCTTAAAGTTACCCTGGATTTTATTTAGGAGTATCGTGTTGAAGGGGTCTGGATGAAAATACAAAATATTCTCAGTACTCATATTTTGTAAACTATGCACTTTTTATACTTCACAATCATGAAGTGATTTTGTGCAAGAAAAAAAAGAATCACAACAAAATACATTTTTTGTAGTTTAGCAATATGTAAAAAAAATAACGTCAAAGAGGTATAAATACTTTTGCAAGGAACAATGATAAAAAAAAGAAAAAAAAGAAAAAAAGAAAAGCTACTCATCAGTGGAAATGAAGGAAGTGGATACAAAGAATCGAAAGCGTTAACAGAAGCCAAAATCCCGTCACCATGCACTCAGAACAGCAGGGGAATAGTTACTTTCTGTTGCCATCATCTGTGACACTGCCAGCTGCTCCGTCTCTGGAAACATTGTACGGGACACGCAGGTGCAACACCGAGCATGAGAGAAGGGGAAGGGGAGAGAGTGTGAAGCTAAAAACAACAAGATGTCTAAACACACAAAACACATCCAGGCCGGTGCGCAGAGTTGCACAGTGTGAAGCGTGTCGGGAAGGTGGGAACATCCAGGAAGAACCCGCTTTGGTGTTTGTGCCACACCCCGCGGCCATTTACCTGGGTATGGCGGGCACGCGCCTGCCGTTCTCGTCGATGAAGTGGCCCCCGGCGTTCAGGACCCAGCGGTGGTGCAGGGACATGAGGGCGTGTCTGGCTGTGGTGGGAGTGTCCTTCCCGTCCTGGGTGTCCGCGTTCTTCAGCGGGGAGAACTCGTCCTCCCGCAGAACCTCGTACACCACGAACGTCCTGTTTTGGGAGAACACGCCGTCATTTCAGCGTGTAAGCACAACAAGGAAACAGCAGGGCACAGCTGGAAAAGAAAACAGCTCTGAACTCAAGGGATGAAATTTGTCAAGCTTTTTGGGGGTTTTTGAGACTACTGTTTGGGAATAATTGAAGGATATTTGGTTGGTTATATCCCTGGATCATTGGAGTTGGTCATTATGTTTTAAGTAACGCTTAAGTTCAGCTGTTCATTTATAAGAAGTCGATGGTTTTCACAAGTATTCCTAGCCCTTGAATCCTGCCACACGTTTGAATATTTAAGCCACAAACAACAAAATAATCAATTTACTTCATAATTGCAAAGTGCAAAGAGAAAGACTGGCACTTCC